GGTCACACAGCATATGTATACACCACTCACTTCCATGCCAGCATTCTCTGAAGATGCCAGCCACAGATGCTGGTGAAATGTCAGAAAGAAATTCTTCTAGAGAACATGACCACACAGCCCGAAAAACCCACAAAAAACTATTTTGCATGTTCCTACTGTCTCAGGATCAGTGCTTCTAGAGATATAGGATGTGTGAAATAATTTAACAAAGTTGTCTTATCCCAAAACTATACTATTTATTGTAATCAGGAAAGAACTTCTTGGCCATTTTCTTTTTTCTTTATCATTCTAAGAACACATTGGAACCAAAGGACTCAAAAAGGAAACTGTGCTTCCTTAGCTTGTAGGCTTACCAATTAAAACTTCCCCCCGCTGATAAAAATTTGCTCACACCAATTAAGTAGCTAAAAAGCTTTAGTTGATTCTCTGTTGAAGTGATTAATCATCACAGCCCAACTGATTACATAAAATTTAGAGAGAAAGGGAGTCTCTGAATAATTTATGGCAGGATTGAAAGATCTTGGGGCAAAACTCAGAGAAATTACTTTAGGAATCTACAAGGGGAGCTGGAGTCCCCAGATGTAACTTTTTCAAATTGAGAAGATGTAGTCCAGAAAAGTAATTAACTATGGTTTATCAATTCAGGCACCACGTCAAACCATGTTGGGCAGAAATCCATGGCTGGCAAACCCATATCATAGTCTGATTTCTTCTTTGCTTGATAAGCATAAACCATGGCTTGTCATTTTGGATATCAAACTTCCCTAATCATGGCTTGGCATAGCAGCAAGCAATTGGCACAGCAAATGCATTCATTAAGAATCATGACCAGAAGTTACTTTTAGGTGTGATTTCTTTTTTCTGGTAAGGCTGTTTTTCTTTTGGGGTTTGTGTGTGTGGTGGCTTGGGGGTTGGGGTTAAGGAGAAGGGGAAATGGAGTTGTGTTATGTTGTGAGTTGTGTTATGCTTTTTTCCTGGCATTTGCAGTATGGCGGGGCAAGGAAGATTGCAGACCTCTAGGGAACTGTGGGTGAGTCTGGAGGGGGTCACACATGGTTCATGCACCATACTTCCCCATTCTTGGAGCCCTTTCACATTACACAATTATAGTACTATTATTCCACTTTATTTGTCATGGATGCATCTTATGGAATTCTGGGATTTGTAGTTTGGGGAGACACTAGAGCTCTCTGGTAGGGAATTCTAAATCCCAGAACTCCACAGGATGGAATTACAGCAGTTAAAGTAGAATTATAGAGTCACAGAGTTGGAAGAGACCCCAAGGGCCATCTAATCCAACCCCTTTCTGCCATGCAGGGATATGCAATCAAAGCACCCATGACAGATGGCCATCCAGCCTCTGTTCAAAAACTTCCAAAGATGGAGACTTTATCACCCTCCAAGGCAGCAGCACATTCCACTGTCAAACAGCTTTTACCAGCAGGAAGCTCTTCTGAACATTTAGGTGGAATCTCTTTTCCTGTACTTTGAATCTCAGCACTACAATTGTGTAATGTGAAAGGGCCCCAGTTTAGCATCACACATGACTTGATCCTTCTTGTGGCAGAACCTTCTTACTGGGCCTTGAATTCCCATTGTGTGTTCTTATGGGTCATCTACCTTCAGATGGGTCCAACCTCCGCGCCCGGCGTCCGTGCTTGGAGTTGTTGTGGACAAACATGTTATCGGAAACTGCGAGGACATGACCATCCACATTCACTGTCGTTGACACCACTACCTGAAGGGATGCAAAGCCATGGAAGCATTAAACAAGACAAGGCGACATTAAAAATACAAGAATAAGAATAAAAATAAGAAGAATTCTAGGCAGCACATCCAAGGACTTTTCATTTTTAAGGGACATGGTCAAGGATACGGGGTTATATCTGCCTCACTGACTCTCTCATGAAATGATTCCAAACTACTAACATATTAGAATAATATGACTATCAGTGGTTACCTCCAGATATGATGATTTTGGTATTTCATAGTTAAAATAACAAATCTTAAGTTCATTGCTGAAATTCTGGATGACTGAGCAGTAACAAATTAACTTTTAACACACTGTCTCCAAACATTGAGACCATCTAACTCAATCAAATGACTTGATTTTCTTTTTATCCGCCTTCTTCACTGTCTAGTTCTGACATCCGTACACGGTGATGGGGAATATAATGGCTTGGACGATTCTAACTTTAGTGCTCAGATGTATATCTTTACTGTTTAGGATCTTTTCTAGCTCTTTCATGACTGCCCTCCCCATTCTTAATCTTCTTATCTCTTGACTGCAATCTCTACTCTGAACAACAATCCAAATTATAAGAAATCTTCAACTATTTTGATTTCCTCATTGTCTGGGTTGACTTTATATAGATCCTCTATGGTCATTATTTTTGTTTTCTTTATGTTCAGTAACAAGCTTGCCTCTGCACTTCCTTCCTTGATCTTCCTCAGTAATTGTTCCAAGTCCATGATGTCTTCTGACAGTAGTACAGCATGCCTGCGCCATATGCGGTCTCGCCATACGCGGACTCGAGTTCATACAGACGGTGAGCCCTGGCACTTTTAATGGCACATGCACAGGAGCATGCCACCATCAAAAACAATGGGACTTGAGAGCCCACGTTTTTTCCCTTATGTACAGTGTCATCCACATATCTTAAGATTGTCAATGTTCCTTTCTCCTAACTTTACTCCTTCTTCTTCTACGTGTAATCCTGCTCTTTGTATGATATTTTCTGCATATAAGTGGAACAAGTAGGTTGATAGGATGCAGCCTTGTTGGATCCCTTTGCCAATTGTGAACCATTTTGTCTCTCCATATTCTGTTCTAACAGGGCCCAACCAAAATAGAAAAAGAAATAATAATAATAATAATAATAATAATAATAATAATAATAATAATAATAATAATAATATTTTAAATTTCTTTCCCGCTTTTAATAATAATAATAATAATAATAATAATAATAATAATAATAATAATAATAATAATAATTTATTTATATACCGCCCTGTGGCAGGCCAATCTAGGCGGTGAACAACAACAATAAAATACAAACAGATTAAAACAATATCATTCCCTCCTCCCCCCTCCTTCCTCAAGGCCCAAGGTATTCTACCAGCTTGAGCATTGATAGAATACAAAACATGATAGAATACAAAACACAATTAAAAAAGAAAACACATAAACCAACAGTTAAAACACAATACTATAAAACCATTAAAATACACTCATATAATACATTCTTTAAAATATACCAATTAAAAGTCATGTTTTAAAATTGACACGGTAGGCCTGCCAGAAAAGATGTGTCTTCAATGCTGTTTTAAATGCCACCAGCATATTCAGCTGTTGAATCTTTGCCAGCAGGTCATTCTATAATTTGGGAGTGGTGAAGGAAAAGTCCTCTGGCTGACAATTGCCAACCTAGTCCTGGCTGACTGAAGTAAATGTCTGCCAGAGGACCTAAGAGTATGGGGCGGATTATACGGGATTAAGCAATCCTGTAGGTAACCCAGACCCAAACAATGTAGGGCTTTAAAGGTAATAATCAACACTTTGTACTTTGCCCGGAAACTAACTGGCACCCAGTGGAGTGATTTTAAGATCAGCATGATGTGATCACTTCTGGATGTACCCCTAATCAATCTAGCTGCCATATTCTGAACCAGTTGGAGCTTCTGGACTTGATACAAAGATAGCCCAATGTAGAGTGCATTGCAGAGGTCCAGCCTTGAGGTTATCAGTGCTTGTATTCCTATCTTTAGGTCCCCCAAAAGGGAAAGAAATAGTGGTGGTAGTGGAGTAGGAATAGAATTACAAGAGAATGGCAGGTGGGCTAGATTTTAAATTTTGTCAGCTGCCTTGAGTCCCTGTACTTGGAGGAAGGTGGGATATAAAATAGATAGATAGATAGATAGATAGATAGATAGATAGATAGATAGATAGATAGATAGATAGATAGATAGATAGATAGATGGTGCAATTACAGTCCAACAGGGTAAAGCCACATGCTGCTTTCTTTACTCACTCTTCTGGTATTGAATAGAACAGGTTGCCACTTTAATTCTCAGTGCCAAACATGGATAGTTTTCTCCTTCTTCCAAGTCCCATCACCTTCACAGGTACGGTTGCTGGAAACATTAGGTAGGTTCTTCTTGGTGGCTGCCCCTAGATTTTGGAATTCCCTTCATAAAGAGGACAAGATGCCCCCTCCCTTGCTCTCCTTTTGTCAGCAGCTGAAGCCTTTCTTTTATTCAGAGGGGATCTTAGAACTTCGACCTCAAGGAACTTATAGTCTGTATTTTATTGCAGTGAGAACAGACAAGGGAGTTCATGGAGGACTGGATTTTCAAAAGCATGTATGGGAGCTTAGGGAAGTTCTTTTTTTAGGTGGGGGGTTACAACTCTGTGAATGCCCAGGTAGTCCAGCAATTGAACTTTTCTAAGCTCAATATCTTTATTATTGTTAACAGCATTCGCGTTGATCTCGATCCATGGCAACCTTGCTCAATATCTAACATACTTGAAATGTATGATTTGCAAGGGAAAGAATTTTGTCTTTGTTTTTAAACCAATCAACCATGTTCTATTTCTGCAACAGAAAAGGGGCACCCCTCTTTGTCTCACCCTTTGGGACAATATTCTGTGTGAGGATGTGTGACAGAACCTTCTCACTTGTGGAACCCCAATCAGGGAATGCTCTCCTCTTACATGTGTGATGGAAACCAATGTTGGCTTAATTCTGGCATCAACCAAAAACACAGCTTATTATTAAAGCCTTGGAGGGCAGTTAATGATTTTATCTAGTTCATACATGTACATGGTTCTTGTATGTTCTTGTTATGTGCCTTCAAGACACATCCAACTTATGGCAACTCTATGGCAAACTTATCATGGGGTTTTCTTGGCAAAATTTGTTAAGATAAGGTTTGTTATTACCTTTCCCTGAGGCTGAGAGTGTGTCAATTGCCCAAGGTCACCCAGTGGGTTTTATGGTCAAGCTGGGAATTGAACCCTGGTCTCCAGCATCATAGTCTTACACTCAAACCACTATGCCACGTTGGCTTTTCTTACATGTTTTAATTTATTGCACAGTTTAATATATTTTAGGCTGTAAATTAAGTCTGTACTCTGTCATATTTTGAAGTGCTTTAAATTCTAAATTTGGTTTTATTGTTGGCTGACCTCAGAGTATAGGATGGGATAAGAAATATTTTAATACTGTACATAAAATAAAAGATAAGAATCCAAGCCTGTACTTGAAGACTCAGAAGGGCTGACAAGGACCACATTTGGACTGTGGGTTGCTGGGGAAAGGAGGGACTCTCCAGGCATCAACAAGCACCGACTGGCTGGTGGCTTCCTCATCAGGTTCCTCTCCTAACGATATGGTAATTGTGACATTTTTACATGATTAACAGCCATTCCAATTTGCATAGTGTGGGGGCCATGCCCTGGCGGAGCAGCAGACGATCACACCCACCTTGATGAGTGAACACAACACAGCCGCTGCTGTTTCTGTGGGTGCAAGGAGGAGAGGGAAGCACCCTTTAAGGGATATGCCTGCATCCTACAGGACTTCCAAGGGAAGGGCCAGGAACTACAATGCATCTGGATTGCAGTAATCGTGCATTGCAAAAAAATATGGTGTCACATTGACCTATTGGCATCCAATTGCCATGCTTTATCCTTCTCTCTTGTTGTTACTGTTAATGATACCTTGCTTTTCCCTAGGGCTGGACCTCAAGCCAGTTTACCAGATACAAGTTCAGAACAAAATTTAGGCCCTTCCTGCACAGACCATGATACTACATTCTATCCCTATACAAGCCAGCTTGAGCGTTGAGATCAGCAGGAGACGGCTTTCTCTCAGTCCCACCACCTTTGCAAGTGCAGTTGGTGAGGACTCAGGAGAGAGCCTTCTCGGTGGCTGCTCCCAGACTCTGGAACTCCCTGCTTTCTTTCCGCCGGCAGCTTAAGACATTTTTATTTAGGCAGGCGTTTGATGGGTAGATTTTATCTGAGTAATCTGGTGTGCTGTTTTAATGTTTTATGATTATTATTGTTTTGAATTATGTCATTTTTATCTATGTTTTAATTGTTAGTAGTATTTAATTTTTTTTAACTTTTATAATCAATGATTTAGCCTTGTCTTTTTTTAATACACAGTCACCCCTCCCAATTAATGGGGGATCCATTCCAGACCCCCCATCAATTGGGAAAATCGCCAGTACTTGAGCCCCGTTGATTTCAATGGGGGTGCGCTCCTGTGTGTGGGCCTCAGGTGCACGCACCATTTTGTCCCTCATGACTTGCCAGCCACAAAGGAACAAGGGACGCGAATGGCGACGGACAAGTGTATTGTAACCTGCCTTGAATCCCACTGTGGGAGAAAGGTAGGATATAAATCTTGGAAATAAATAAAATAAATAAATATCCTGGACCTACAGGCACCCCAACCTGCCCCCATTCTCTGGCCCTCCATTCCCACATTGTGGTGGCTGTCTGCACAGGTGTCCCACCAACCTGTCCAGTGCATCCACCACCACTACATGTTGCTTGCTTCTGAGGTCAGAACAAGTAATGTTTACTGTATATACTCATGTATAAATCTAGACATTTTAGTCAAAAAATTGACCCCAAAAATTGAGTAGACTTATTCACGGATCAATGTGAGTATTGTATTTTAACTCTTATATAAAGGAAGGAACCATCCCCTAGTGAAAGGCAAGAGTGTAATCTGTCCTGGAAGCACTGACCCCTCCCTATTTCTCATTCATCCATCCAGCCATTAGTATGAGTACAAACAGTTATACCTTCTGGAATTTTGTAAGTTCTTTGGCATCATTTTCCTTTGCTTCATTCTTTAGATCCTTTGTTATGTACCCCTAAGTTTTACCCTAGATTTATCCATAGGTCAGATTAAAATCCACAATTTTGGCCTTAAAAACCTGCCCTTGATTTATATAAGAGGTTGACTTATAGTTGAGTACATATGGTACATGCTGGGTGCCTTATCTTGACCTCAGAATGAGCGATCTGCAATTCAGCAGGATACCTGTGCAGACAACTGTGGTGGTGCGTGAACGAAGGGCTCAAGATGTTCCCAGATTATCCGTAGCAACAGGTATATTTTTAAAATCCATGTTAAAGGTGTTTTGACCCAGTTCTGTGCAGAACATGCAGGACTGATTGCACCAGAACTGGGGTCTGGGACATGCATAATTTGAACAAGATGATGCAGCAATGCAGACATGGCCTTAGAGAAATCAAGATATAAAATGATCAACAGCATACAAAACCACATTTCCCCAGTTCTCTTTAGAACAGAATGGACTTGACAGCCTTTGTGGTCTTATCCAACTCTATGAATCTATGAGAATCTTGTCCAGTCCTGCAGTGATTAAGGGTCTCTGCAGATCGGCTCAAAGGGACGGCCTGGAGGCAGAGATGGGGTGGGGCAGCCACATGCCAGCCCCCCAACCCCACGCCAATGTGGTCTTGACAACACCTGCCATTATGCACAGCGCGTGGTGTCAGGACGCCCTTCTGCTGCAGCATTTTGAAACACTGCGCCGGAAAGGGCACTAAAGAGCCGCACGCTGGTTCTTAGGGTGGCCTTTTGCCGTTCCTGAATGGGGCGGCAAAAGGGAGGATTGAGACCGTGGCGTGCGGTTGCCGCGGCCCCGATCTGTGGATAGCAGGGATGGCCCAGAGCCACCTGTCTGCATAGCCCCTAAGACACTTGTAAAATCCTGGACTCCAACCATGGATCCAGACAGACTCTTCTACTGACTTCTAGTGAGCAAAGTCTCCATGCATAACAAGTGCACCAAGAAGAGGGTTCATATTTATTTGGGGCTGAGAGCAATGAATTTGGAGAAAGCAAGCCTATAAACTCTCCAGTTCAAACTTTCTAGACACCACAATACAGTAGTTGCTTTGCCTGGTGCAGAATGTGATTTCTGGGCCAGATTGCTGAAGATTGCAGTCTACATGGTACTAATAATGTCAACTAGAGGTGACAACTGAATCAATGGTGACTTCACAAGCCAACACTTATGTAAATTCCATTGATTTAAGGGGGGGGGGTCTACTCTAGCTGGGACTAACTAGGAAATTCAGGTATGTATCAGCACTCCCATCATCTGCATTGAGATCCAACTAACTTAAGGATCCTGGGAGATATAGTCCAAAAAAGTAAATTTTCCAAACTCAGATTCTGATGTTTCCATCAGACAACATCTGAAGTTAACACTGACATCCAGATTACTTTAGAAGCAGAGCTTGGGAAAAGTTATTATCTTTTTGGACTACAATATGCTAGGTGGGAGAGATACAGAGAACTGTAGTCCAAACATGTATTTTTTCCCCCTTCTGGAGTATGACTGAAACTGTTCTCCATAGCTGCTCATCCTTTCACCTCTTAGAAAATTCTCCTTCCTTCTAAACATATCAATATCATGCCACCTAATTCACTCTGAAGCTTATTTATTCCTTGAGCCAGTGAGCCAGGCTGTATTTTGAAGAGGATAGATGGAAATAAAGCCATAAGGAAGACCCAATGGAGCTGTTGGAAAGGAACAGGGGGAACCACACAGCATTGTGCTAAGGGGGATCTCACCTGGAACCGTCGCATATCTCGGGGATTCCCAGCATTTTTCAGGCAGTTCTGGTTACATTTGAGGAAGAACTTGAGGAAAAATCTAGAAACAGAAGGAAAAAAATTGAGATCTATTTGTCTACTTTTAAATATTTTATATCTTACCTTTTTCTCAACATGGGACCCAAGAAGATCACACAATAGATTACAACAAAACATAGGTATAGCTGTTAATAAAGCAGATATGTTCCTGGGCATTACATCTGGCATCAGAGGCAACTCCCACCACCCCATACCCCATAAGAATGGGGAAAGGGTTCCCACAACACAAAAAAAGAAAAGCAGTTTATGTCCTAGCAAACATTTTTGAATTAAAAACAACAGTTGGCCCCTGTAACCACGGATTCAACAATCCATGGCATGAGAATATTAGATAGATAGATAGATAGATAGATAGATAGATAGATAGATAGATAGATAGATAGATAGATAGATAGATACAAGCAAACCTTGATTTTGCTATTTTATATAAGGGACACCTTATTTATTTACTTGCATTTAATGGGACCTGAGCATCCATGGATTTTGGTATTCACAGGGGGATCCTGGAACTAAGCCCCAGCAGATACCAAAGGTTCACTGTAATAACATATATGTGCAAAATGAAGACCAACACAACAACACAGTTCAGCCTTGTATAAATAAGGAAAAACACGTTAATCTTGGCAAGACCACTTGAAAGCTTTTTCCAAAATTCATCCAAAATGTGTGATGTTCTTTTGCTAGCCTCTACTTTCCTTATGATTTCCATTTTGCTCCCCTCTTCTCTCTGTTTCACTGTTTACACATGCTCAGTAAGGGATTCTGGAGGCAGCTGCTGTTTACTTTGCCTGTTGTAGACAGGTACACACAACTACAGTAGCATCTGCTAGAGCAGAATCACACTCTTTCTCAGAACAACCTTTGTTTATTGCATTGTCTACTGCAGGGGTAAGCAACCTTTTTGAGCCAGGGGCTGGGTTGC